AATGGGTCAAATCCAATGACCCCTTGGGGTCACGCCTCTCTGCTCTGCCAAACTCTTGAACCTATTTAGTTCAAACTTTGCACAGTTGGCCTATATGCCACATGTAATAAGCCTATTGACCCCGTGGAGTCATGCTTCTCAGTCCCTGCCAAACGCTTGAACCTATTCGGCTGAAACTTTGCACAGTAGACTTATATGCTACATGTAACAAGTCTATTGGAAATGGGTCAAATTCAATGACTCCGTGGGGTCCAGAGACATGGAGAGAGGAGATCGGTGATCGACGAGTGCGCATCCAAGAAAGGGTGCGACCTCATGGGCGCTGCCATTTTTACACCCTTTGTGTCATGTTGTGTTTATAGTGGTGTTATTTTAGCGTGTGTTCGTGTTTAGGAGAGCTTTTTTCGAGGTTTAAGTGTTTATTTTGTAACGTCAACGTCACTGGCATTTTCTTTTGTTCATTTGGATTGAGATATTAGTTTCTTCCTACGGAGCTGCTGCCGAATAGAGTGTAGTGTATGAAGATTGCGTTAGATGTCTCTGGGTTGCGTCAGTAAACCTTTATAGTCCTGTTCAAATTTCGCGCTTCAATGGGTGTCAAAATGGCAGCCCCCTTGTTTTGTAACTTCGCGCAGGTTCATGCGTTATCTCCTCTCTCCATGTCTCTGGTGGGGTCACACCGCGAGGTTCTCTGTCGCTTTTTAAACGCTCTTTATAGGTTTATTTTAATTTAGCCGGAAAGTAACGGTTTCCAATAAACGTATTATTTCTATTAAATGTCAAAACAAATAGCGTCTACTATCTGATGACGTTGACGATGCTTCGCAACCTGTCCTTGCAACAAAATCTAAAAACAAAATATCTACAAGTCCTATTCAAAGAGATTTTGAAATGAACACGAAAATCACGGACATTTAATGAATTGCACGCGATGCAGAACGTAATCGAACAATACATGTCGTTTATTTTATTATTACGTGAACTTGGTTCTCTCGTTTAGTGATTAAGTTATAGTCATGTACCTCTGCATTGTAAAACTCTGTAATTTAGTTATGTGAAAAAGTTTAAGGGATGTAGTTTAGGAAAATAATGAAATCTTGCATCTGCATAATAGCCCTTTTCTTTGATTTCATGCATTTTGCAGTAGTGTTGATTTTTTGAATCGCGTGCACATATATAATGGCGTGCTGTGAACTCATGCACTCTGAGATATTATACAAACTCTGTTTTTTACAAAATGCATAAATAAATGATATATTTGTAATTTGGTTTCCCTCCCCTTTTTTTCACAAAAAGCGCTGGGGGTATTGTGGACTATAGGAATAACAATTTCGAGTATACATACACAGGTTAAAGTATCCTCCTAAACTGCTTTAATTATCGAAACACGCGCCCAAAATGTAAAAGTAAATAGAAATTGTATTGATTAAATGTCCCGCAGTAACCCGAGCAAGAGTATAAGCAAACCGCAATGCCATACATTTTACTTTGCCCTTTTTAATTATAGAAAACCCTTTTCCGATGTGTATACGTATAATGAGTGAGCGTACGAGGGTTTTGCATTATTACTTTGGTAAATAGGGTCATGTAAGAAATATGTAAAGGTGAATTGTGCTTATTGAATTAATTTTCTTAGGTTGAAGAATAATGTGTGCATAAACGCAAACAAAAATCTATATTCAGTGTGCAAGTATTCATATAGGTAATTAGGTCCGTGTAACGTTCAATGCAAAAATAATACTCGAGTTATATTTTTCTCCTAAAATATCCTTATAGGGACGTCCTATTTATTGTAATTCTATATGACACCCCCGATGACTCCTTGAATAACAATAAACGTGTAAACAAATATAGCAAACGTGCTCCTGGGTATGGCTACAGGGCCGCAGCCAGGGGGGTGCCAGAGGGTGCCTGGCACCCTCTGGATATTAAGTGGCACCCTCTGACCGATCACGATCAGAATTGTAAAATAAAAATGTACAATAGTGCTAATTTTGTACATTGTAAATTAATTATTACAAATATACAATATTATTGTTGTTCATAATAATAATTATTACAATAGATTGAATAAAAATGATTATTCTTGATAATTATAATACCTACATACTACATTTTGTAGTATGAGTACAATAATGGTTATTAGAATTATGCAATTTGATTCAAAAGTAACAAGTTTAAATAACTCAGATTCAGAAATATCTGAAATCTGAAGTTATGGATTTTCTAGCTCTAGGCTTGTTAGTCCAGGGAATAGAGGGTTTTAACTCGCAAAATGAGAAGTAGTTCCAATTTCTTTTGCATGTCATAAACAGTCATCTGGTGGTTAACAATCTAAGTTTTCGACCTCCCACCCCTTGTGCTTCCCACGTACCACCCCCAAAACCCCTGAAATTTGGTTGGTTTCTTAGATTTTCAATCATATCTTTTTAATGGTTCGCTTTAGAAAAAAATATTGTTATTAGAAATTGTAAACCATAAAATTCTACACAAATTTGATATACACTATTTTTTTGTGAAATGTTTATTAAAAACGATATAGAGCTTCAGAATTGCTTATGTTTTTCAGAATTCTAAAATTTGTATGTAGATGTTTTAACCAAATTGTATACTTTATCTCTATAATTAAGAGTTTTATGAGAAAATGTCTTGAATTTATCGTGGTATAAATCCCTCTACCCTGCACCCTTACCAAAGGGGATGCATAATAATGAAACTTGCAACCCTTGCTAGTGAGGATATTTGAATCACTGAGAGATTGTAGCGCTTTCTAATAAACTTTTGAAATTAAAAAATTGTCTCACTCACTCACAGTTCAGTTTAACCCCCCCCCTCCCCCCCGGCGGAAGGAATATATATTTAAACGCTCTTGTGAAGTTAGTCAGAGAGTACAACGCTTATTACATATATTTTCTATTCCTCTTTAAATATCTATTCCTACCGCGGTTGGGAGGGGGGGATGGAGGCTGAAGCTGAACTGAAGTGAGATAATTTTTTGTTTCAAACGTATATTAGAAAGCCCTACAATCTCACAGTGATTCAAATATCCCCACTAGCAAGGGTTGAAAGTTGAATTATTATGCATCCCCTTTGGTAAGGGTGCAGCGTAGGGCGATTTTTAACACAATAAGTTCAAGATATTTTCTCATAAAACTCTTAATTATAGAGATAAAGTATAAAATTTGAAATTTGGTTAAAACGTCTACATACAAATTTTAGAATTCTGAAAAATATAAGCAACTTTGAAGCTCTATATAGTTTTTAATAAACATTTTACAAAAAAGTAGTGTATATCAAAGTTGTGTAGAATTTTATAGTCTACAATTTCTGATAACAATATTTTTTTGTAAAATGAACCTATAAAAGATATGATTGAAAAACTAAAAAACCAACCAAATTTCTTTGGTTTTAAGGGTGGTACGGGGGAAGCACAAGGGGTGGGAGGTCGAAAACTTCGATTCTTAACCACCAGATATTCTTTCATGATATGCAAAAAAATTGGAACTACTTCTCGTTTTGCAGGAAATGGTCCATTTTCAGTCTCTATTTCCTGGACTATTGTTTCTTGCTTGAGAAGTTGGCAACATCGCTGATTACATTCGAAAAGGAAAGAACTAAAAATATAGACATGAACACACTTCTAAGAGAATTTCATAATGCCAAAGAGAGAAGGTTGCATCTATTTTAATGAATATATTCCAGCTTTTTTCTATTGTTATAAATAAATTGTATTAGATAAACTATATTTATAATCTAATATTTTTATGTATGCTTAAATATTGATTCGATTGACTTATATTTATGTTACGTTTATTTTATGTTACATCGTTTGTTTTTTTTTAATATATAATATATATTGGATAAAATTAGTTTTTTTTAATATATTTTTTGCTTTTTTGACAAACAAGTCTCTCGAGACTTCATTTTTGTAAACAATAAGTGAACCCCCAACATTTCGTTTGCACCCTTACAATTTTCGTTCTAGCTACGGCCCTGTATGGCTATAGCATACGCAAAACCAAATTTTAAAACTGGTGTTACATGTGCTTTTAGTGCCTCTATGTATCAAATTTGTTGAGGCGGGGAGCAGTACGGACGGTCTAAACGAAGAGGTGGCGGTTTAGAATCAAAGCGGCCAACATGAGCGAAACCGAGAAAATAGAGAAAATGTTTTGGAGTTTAGAAGGAGCGATAGGGCAAATAGGCAGCAAACTAGACGCGGTATTAACCGAATGGAAGCAAATGAAGGAGGAAAATGTTAAGCTTAGAGAAATCGTAAAAACGCAAGATATGAGAATAGAGCAGTTAGAGAGAGAAGTGAGAAAGAAAAATATAGTGATTCACGGGGTGAGCGACAAAGAAAATGAGAGCGAGGATGAAACAGAAGGAAAAGTCAAGATCTTACTGCAAAAAATAGGGATTGATACCGAAAATGGGGAGCAGATAGAAGGAGCAAAACGGATTGGGAAGTTTAACAACGGAAAGAAAAGGCCAATACTAGTAAAACTGAATAAAGAACGAGTTAGAACGGGGATCTTCCAGAACTCAAATAAATTAAAAGGAACGGATATCTGGATCAATGAGGATTATCCCAAGGATGTGCTGCTGGACATGAAGAGATTAATACCGCAAATGAAGGAGGCAAGAAACAAAGGAGCGAGAGCGGAAATTAAATACAACCGACTGATAATAAATAATGAAGTATATAGGGCAGGCGACGTACTCGGAAGTAAAAGTACTAGCTATAAAAGGACAGCGAATGAAAGATCGCCGGAAGGAGTCAGCTTTGAGGAGCAAATGCGGAAGGCTAGCCGAATCGATATAAAAAACTAACAAGGGTGGAGGAGACGGAAGCGATCGGAAACGAAAAGGGCTATGGACAAGGACACGAATTTCAGATAGGGAAACAAAAACGCAGAAAAGAAAAATTGACTAGAGTTGGCACATGGAACGTACGGGGTACAAATAACGAAGGAGCACTAAAAGAGTTGGCGTCGATTATGAGCGATTATGATATAGATGTCCTGGCAGTACAGGAGACAAAGCAAAAAGGACAACAGGTCATCCCGGTAGACAACTTCACCTTCTATAATAGTGGAGGAGCAAGTAGATACCTAGGGGTGGGGTTTTTAATAAACAGTGAGATCAAGGACGCAATAGTGGATTTTGAGGCCGTAAATGATAGGATTTGTCGACTACGAGTCAGAGGCAGATATAGGAAAATAACAATAGTAAATATACACTCTCCAACGGAGGACAAAGAATTGACAGTTAAGAGTGAGTTCTATGAAGAAGTGGGAAGGATATTGGAGAGAACTCCCAAGTACGATGTCAAAATCGTATTAGGGGATTTAAATGCCAAGATAGAAAGGGAGGAGGAATATATCAAAGTAACCGGGGGTAATAGTAAACACCACGAGTCAAATGAAAACGGAAAAATCGCAATACAGTTTGCTTTGGAAAACAAATTGAAAGTAATGAGCACGAATTTCAAACATAGAGAAATACATCAAACAACGTGGATTTCGCCGGACGCGAAGACCAAAAGCCAGATAGATCACGTACTAATGGAAAGTAAACACCAAAGGTACATACAAAATGTAAGAAGTTACAGAGGCGCCGATATCGACTCAGACCACATCCTAATAATTGCTACACTAAGACAAGGCCCACCAAAGAACTGGAAAGCAGCAAAGACCACATTAGTCAAATATAACGTGGAAAAACTTCTGAACCAAGAGGTGCAAACGGAAGCAGCGAAGCAGCTAGATTATACATTAAAGAAGCTACAGAAACCAGACAATATTGAGGAGGAGTGGAGTCAAATGGAAAACACATTAAAGGACACCATGGAAAAATTGGTGGGAAGAAAAACCAAAGGAAAACAGAAGGATTGGTTCGATGAACAATGCAGGAAGATACTGCAAGTACGGAACGAAGCTAGAATGAAACTACTAATACACAGTACGGAAACAAATAAACGGGAGTACAAAGAAGCAAGGAGAAGGTCTAAGCAAATATGCAGACAAAAGAAGAGAGAGTATTTGGAAGCGAAGCTAGAGAAAATAGGGAAAATGTACGCGAACAAGGAGCTAAGAAACTTCTACCAGGAAGCAAAGAGAAATCGCGAAGACTCAAAGCCCAGCAGCATTCCACATCTAAAAAACAAGGAGGGGGAAATGATCGGGAACACCCACGATAAGGTTAGAATATTTATGCAGTATTACGGGAGACTGGAGAGGGATGAAGAGGAGCAAGAGCGTGAGGAGGATGAGAAAATGCAAGAGAGGATAGAAGAGGGAAGCAACCACGAGGGAATAATGGAACCAACGAAAGCAGAAGTAATAGAAGAGCTAAATAATTTAAAAAATTACAAAAGCACTGGAGAAAATGGCATACCAGCAGAATTATATAAGTGGGGAGGAGAAAGGCTTAAACAGACAGTAACGAATCTGATCATAAAGGCGTGCCACAGGAATGGCATAACGCGATCGTATGCCTAATACATAAGGAAGGGGATAGGTGTATGTGCGAAAATTACCGCGGAATATCGCTTCTCGATGTGGCATATAAGATTTTCGCGCGAATAATACGAAACAGGCTAACTGAGCAACCAGGAACGAGTCGTGGGGGAATACCAAGGAGGTTTTAAAAAAGGACGAAGTACAACGGACCAGATCTTTACGATGAAAATGCTACAAAGCAACAGTTACGAACAAAATTTGGGACTACACATACTATTTATTGATTTCCGCCAGGCGTATGACACCATTATCAGAAGAAAACTGTACGATGCCCTACAAATCTTCGGAATCCCGACGAAGCTAATCAATTTGGTAAAAATGACGTTAACCAATAAAATTATGATAGACGGATGTGTATCGGAAAGTGTGATTGGAAGGATAGGATTAAGACAAGGCGACCCAATCTCAACGGTGCTGTTTAATTTTGTTCTTGAAGCAATTGTGAGAGAAAGTGGGATGGAAGGGGGCGGAATCATTTATCAAAGAAGACACCAAATAGTCGCTTATGCAGATGACTTAGCGCTAGTAACAAGGTCAAGGAAGGAGCTAGAAAAGATGTTTGGTACACTAGCAAGAACGGCGAGATTGTATGGGCTGGAAGTAAACGAGAATAAAACGAAATACATGGAAATGCGACAAAATGTAGGCACTAGTAATACAGGCGTCATTTTCCAGGCGGGCGTCATTTTCCAGGCGGGGGAGAGGACATATAGTTTCGAAAAAGTCAACAATTTCAATTACCTTGGAGTCACAATAACGAACATGATGGACGAGAGTGCGGAATACACACACGGATGACTAGGGATCAGGGCGATAGGAGGATTAGCAATATGTTTAAATTCAAAGGAGATATCTCGAGCGGCAAAGCTGAGAATGTACAAAACGATTGTACGACCAACAGTAACGTACGCAAGTGAACTGTAGACAATGACAAGTCAGATGGAAGGAAAACTGGGAGTATGGGAGGGGCGGGTGTTAAGAAGAATACTGGGAGGAGTGAAAACCGAGGATGGTGAGTGGAGACGAAGAACTAATAGAGAAGTATAAGAAGCTTACGGGGACATATCGATAGTGACGTTCATAAGAGCTCAGAGGGTTAAATGGCTAGGACACGTCGTTCGAATGGAAGAAAGCAAGCACGCAAAAAGAATGCTGGAAGGGGGAACTGGCGGAAAAAAGAAAATAGGACGGCCAAAAAAGAAGTGGCTAGATGCAGTGATCAAAGATGTGAAGAGTGTGGGGGTAGAAGATTGGAAAACCAGAGCAAGAGATAGGGTAAAATGGAATAAAGTAGTGGATAAGATTAAACAGATGTGAAGATTAGGATAAAGTCAAAAATTTAATGTACCTAGAGGTAGAAAGGACTAAGCCATGGGTCTATAAGGCCCGTAGTGCTGAAATATATATGTCGCAGCCGTTTAATGAAATTGGACATTTCATGAAAAGTCTAGACATTTATATGAAACTGTGGCACAGTGTACTTTCCAGGGCCAAGCGATTGGATTCCCTTCCCATTAGAGATCGATAAATGGTATCCTTATCGATCTAGAAGGGGAAGGGAAATTACCCCACACGTACAAATTTTCAGCGTTTCACTAAATGACTAGGCCTCGGGCTAGGCGTTTCGTGAAATGACTGATTTCACTAAAAGACTACGACATATATATGTATCAAATTTCATTTAAATGCTTCCAGACATAAGAAAGTTGACACTGCGCATGCGCAAAACCAAATTTTGAAACTGGCGTAAGATTTGGTTTTATTCCAAGTGCCTATGTATCAAATTTCATTTAAATACCTTCACAAATAGAAAGTTTGCAAATTCGGTTCATAAATGGTCAAGTGTGAAAAGAGCACTGTGAATGTTGAATCGATTAGAAGAGTCATTTTTTATCAGCCACACCATTAGTAAGTTGGGCACAAAACGCGTTCTCGCGCTAGTTCCATTATAGCTTTACATTGCATCCGTTTATCAGTCATTTGGAAATAGGTTTCATTAAACTCATTTTATAGTTGCAGTTTCCAAATAATCTCAAAGCATTATCTAATTTGCGGATTGAAGCTTGTGTACTCTTCCGTTACATTATAAATGGAATGGCCTTTCTGGACGTCTCAATTAAGTAGGTCCGCTATCACAAAATTGTCATTCATAGTATAATATCCTACTTCAATTCCGACCGTTACCCGCTCTCAACAGATCTCCTATCTCTGTGCGTTTAGAGTGACATCAAGCGGTAAACGTTTCTAGCATCTGGTGACGAAAGCTCATGTCTAATTTATTAATGCAGTGCAATTAATCAACGATGGTTGACCATGTGGGTAAAAGCATTGAATTTATAACTATAAATTCAATGGTAAAACTTAAAGAACCATTGTCGGTTCAAATTATGTTCGACACCTACACCTAATAAAATAGAGAATTATGAAACACTTTGGGTCTCAGCCAAACAGTACCCATCCCGTACACTGAATTTAATTAGAATACCCTTTCTATTGTTTGTTGTCTTAAGCACAGGCAAATGACCGTACTCAAATCAAACACAATGATATCTCCCGAAACCGTAAAATCACAACATAAATGCACACACTTTGTGGCAGCATCATGTTTAAACTTGGCGAAATTGCATTCTTGTGTAAAATTGTGTCACATTCGTTTATTATTGTACTTAAGTACCGTGAAAAATAAAAAGGCTAATTTCTTGTAATAGACTAATATTTAGTGGAAACTAGTTTTAGTAGCAAGCAGTGTTAATATGTCCCTGAGTTGGTTTTCATCTTCAGGCAGGGCAATCAATTATGTAGGAGAGAGAGCGATTCAATCTTTACACTAGTTAAACTAGCAGCGTTAGTGCTCGTTAGTGCCGCCAATATAAACGTTAGTGCTCAAAGTGTAACAGCTCAAAACGTTGTAAAAAGGGGCCTGCTAACCTTCATGCAGCAGACCCACATTTGTCAAATTGGCCCTGTCCTAATGCGAATTTGAAGCGGCTCGTTAGTGCTTCACATTCGAACGTTAGTGCTGCAAGGGATCCGCATAAAAAAGGTACCAAACCACCTCAAAATTATACGTGGCTTATTGGGATCTGCCAACTTCACGCCGGTAGACCAACAAACGAAATCCGTTTGATTTTCTACGTTAATCGATCTATCAGTATTAGTGATCGTTACTGTCGCAAAAAAAAACGTTAGTGTGGTACTTTTTGGAGAGGATCTCTTGCAGTACTAACGTTCGCATGTAAAGCGCTAACGAGCACTAACGAGCTGCTTCAAATTCGCATTAGGACAGGGCCAATTTGACAAATGTGGGTCTGCTGCATGAAGTTGGCAGACCCCTTTTTACAACGTTTTGAGCTGTTACACTTTGAGCACTAACGTTTATATTGGCGGCACTAACGAGCACTAACGCTGCTAGTTTAACTAGTGTAAAGATTGAATAGATTTTCTCAAATGGGTCTGCTGGC